AGAAGTGATTTTACAAGTTGGGGCAACATAATTAAATAACAAAGAGACAACTTACCTTGAACCTATGTGAAGGCAAGAGGCGAGCTGTGAAGTGATCTCGTTGACCACGCTGTTTTCGAAAAAAAAATCCCCACACCCACATGCTGCTTTTTACAGCACACTACTGTATTTTTCAGGCGCCAATGGGTTTACAGTTAAATGTTGCATATTTACAGCAAGTGATTAATCTATGGGCTTTTGGCTGTTAATTTACAGGATTAAACTGTCTACTGAAATAACAGTATTTTACTGTTAGAAATTGGCCGTTTTTTAACAGCAATTTTTTACAGTGTTGATATAGGTAGGTATTGCTGCGTTTTTATTATGCTGCTTCAGGTACGTATTGCGGCGGTTCAGAATTCAAATATCCGGGGACTGATGCTAAAAGTTAATGCTCTATCGTGTTGGAAATATGCCCTACACTAAACCCAACCCTAAACCTACCCGATAGTGTTAACAAATGCAAAACTGATATAAAAACACATTTGTTGATGCAACCGTGTCATTTGAACTGACTTATATGCAGATTTGAACCGATTTGTCAAACCGTAGTTACACTGGATTTCGAACCGGAGCTCCTCGCCTCTCAAGTACGTCTCCATACTCCGTGAGCTACCGAACAAACCTACTGTCGATGAAAACCCATTGATATGAAGCTGTATATGTGCGGTGCCAACGTTCAAAAGCATCAGTTTTCAAATCTCCCAGAATATTAAAATTGTTTTGAAGTCATAACATGATATTCTTCAAGTAATTGTGCGAAAATTATGCTTTATTAATTGAAACTCTGTAAATGTGTGTGAAAAGGAATAAAAGGTGTCGGAGTTGTACTGCCTCTGTGCCCCCGGGTACGTTTTTGCCATGAGACCAGGTTGACTTTAACAGTCAAAAAAGCATATCAAGCAATGCAAAATTAATACCTGTGGCTCCTGATGATATGTTAAGGTCTTATGAAGTGAAACAGTCACTCCAACTCAAAATGAGCCAAGATACCAGTCTACAATGTTATCCTATGATGCATCAGTGAATCAGTCATTCGAACCAGTTCCATGAAACAAACTGTCTAAAAGAATCAGACGTCCCTGTTTGCCTGAGGCTCTGGATTAAAGCTAATAATGATGTAAGTAATGTTCAGTCTCTTGCACAGACTGATCGCATCGCTTCATAAGACCTCAATACATCGAAAACAAATTTTCATTTTAGGTGAATTATCCCTTTAAACCCCACTGCAGTAGGAGATCAGAATGTTTTATATCTTCTCCAGTCAAAATTCCTAAAAACCTATGGAATCCAACTCCAGCTCTTCCTAACAATATTACAGTATTACTTGTGACAATTCTCTTTCTCAAAGGTACATGAAGAACACAGGGCCAGGAATGATGGCTCTGTCACAGTGCCGTCTAGAGCTGTCAATAGGCATCATGATCATTGATGAGCCCCGCTGAGCTTCTCAGCGTTTCTGCCAATCAGCTGATGGATGAGCTGGAGCTCAGGGCTCCGTCATGTAATCATCTTACTGTGCACCCCTGTTTTTGTATCAGACACTTGTCTCTGAGGTCTACATGTCCCAGTCTATTTCTACGCCATGCGCCATCAATGTCTAGATAAAAAATTTCAACACAACACACAACGATTCACTGTATATTTTGGGAGATGTGGTTAGATGTAGTCATGCAGAATAATCATGGAACGATGGCCTCCCCTCGTGTCACCGTCCTTTCGACCAGGGGCGTCATGCACTCATTATTTTTGAGGGGGCACGAGTGGGGGTCGTCATGTGACACACAGCAGCCGCAATAGCACTCGTTTTATTTTTATTTTTTCCTTTTTATTCAAAACATTCCCAAATGCATTAACTAGCCTATATCATGAAATATCTCGATTCTCACCTTCGTAGATTATGTTAGTTGAGTAGGCGATGGTCAAAGTAGCCTAATAATGTAGTCTATTAACTATACATAAAAACCTGTCTTTTTACTTAAGTAACAGATATGGGTGTCATGCCATATCATATTTTTAATACGACTGACTTTATATTTAATGTGAATTTAACATTGAAAGTTAATGTGAATAAAAACATTGTAAGCTAGGCTACTTATCATAACAAATTAATAATTTTCAATAAAACGATATAAAAAAACACTAGCTTTCTATTTTTTTCTATTCTATATACTTGTTTTTCTTTGTGTGTGTGTATATATGTGTTTGTATAATATATATATATATATACACCTCGCTACGTGCACTGCGTTAGGCTAACCGAGACTTGTCATTTGCACTTATATATTGTTGCTCTTTTGTTAGTTTTGACTGCTTTTATTGTCCTCATTTGTAAGTCGCTTTGGATAAAAGCGTCTGCTAAATGACTAAATGTAAATGTAACAATTTCATTGTACAGAAAGAGAGCAAAGATTATTTACATTATCAAAGAACATTTTCGCTGACAGTCTAGAGTTCAAGCACTCTCAAAAACTCCCTTTAAATTCACTGAAGCTGTTTCCACTGTGAAATTAATAACCTACCGATTCATACACACATCTGCACTTTGTTGTTACTAACGAGAGAATTCGCCAGACAGAGAGCGAGTGAAGAAAACACCGGCATTTTAGCGATGACTCATCTGAACGCCTCTGATTGGTCATTGCATTCATAAGCTCAACAGCATCGTGCGTGATTGGTTCAAATATAGAAAATATTATTAGGCTATTTTTTTTGTCTTTTGGAAGCTGCATTCAAAATCCACTTGGCTCAAAAATCTGAGGGGGCACATACCCCCTCACTTTGAATGTGCATGACGCCTCTGCTGTCGACTGCCACCCTGCCATCAGACTCATGACAGGGGCGCACATGACACGAGGAAGACAATATCTTCTCTATTTTAAGGCCAATGCACTCAGCCAGAAAGCCAGCAGTTCCTTCCATACCAAACATTAAAACTCTGAAGTAACTTCTTTTCAAGAGAAATTTTACATGTCTACCCTTATGGAAAAAGTACATTTTTAGCATACTTTTAAAAACAGTATTTATTACAGAAATAACATATTTTTAAAACGTATACTTAAGTGCAAACTGAACGGTTATGTTTTTGGACACTCAATTGCATGCTATTTAAATTTATTTGAATTTCATATTAAATTTTGATATTGAATTAGTTGTGAATTAGTAATTAAAGTGTACTGCCAAATGTACTGACACGCATTTATTTTGAACAAAAATATACAATAATGTTATATATTTAAACATTTGTTATGTATTTAAATATATTTGCAGTTACACATTTATAACTTAACATATAACATTAACTAACATTGAATAACACTACAGTTAAAATTATAATCAAGTAAGCTACTTAACGTGTTTTAGAATATGTGTTGTACTTGTTTAAAGCATGACAAAAGATTATATAAACAATCATTTAAAATGCACTTTAAAGTTAAATGTTTAATTTGACATTATTAAGTGCACATTTTAAAAGCGTATTAAGTGAACGTCATGAAAGTGTGCTCTCTTTAAGTAACACTTAAGTGGCCTGTTATTTCATTAATATCATATTATCTGCAAATTTGTATTATTATTATAATTAAAAATATACTTTTAAGATTTAAATGTGCCTGTATTCTACAAAGTGCACATTCAGTACAATTTTTTTATTATTTTTAACATGGATAGCTTTAGGGCATACTTCTTTTCAAAACCAGATGGCAATAAACCCCAAATAAAGTAAATGTTCAAGGACAAAAACCATGTCCTAATAATAATGCAACTGGCCTTCTATGTAAAATAAATACGCTCTAAATCCAGAACTTCAATATGAGGTGCACATTAAGTGCCCTGGAAGTACTTAATGCAAATCACACAAACAGGGCTAAAATATCTCTGCAAATGTTAAACCGAATGCAAATGTTATGAGTCAGCTAATGAGTATTGTGACATTTTCTTTCTTTTTTTCCCCCCTTTTTTTGGGATCTTCAATATTTAGACAGAATCAAAAATGAACGACACTCTGAATATTTACGTGTCTCTCACGGGAAGTGCAAAATCATGATTGTACAAACAGGCCGGTTCTCTCTGTTAAAGTTGATGTCACTGCATAGTATCTGGCTCAGTACTGAAGCGGCTGCTGCAGAAGTATTCATTGTGAAGTTAACAAGCTCTCAGCTCTCACAGACACTCTTATAAATAGATGTGTCTTAAAAGTGGCAGGGCTTTTTCATCAACAGCCCTCCGCCTGCCCTGGTAAACACATTTAGAAGAGATTTACCCATTCGTGCAGGCTAATTTAGTCTAATCTTGGTGATATCAACATTATGAAAAATTACAGGTCTGTGCTTACACATTAAAACAGAAACGTCGTGATTATTGATGGCCACGCTGAAACAGGATGGGCTGTGTTGCTGTCTGATTAGGTAACAGCTAACTGAATTTAATTAGTTTACCTTTGAACTCAAACCACTGATGAATTCCATTTAATTATCCAAACCTGAGCAACAGAAAGCCCATTTTACCTGCTTATAAAATGCACTATTGCATTGCTTAATTGTGCATTCAAACAAGCAATCCACAAACCTGAACTAAATGATCACCTAAATAATTGATATGCTGTAATTTAAGTTGTGGATAATAAAAAAACGGCAAAGGATTATCATCCGCTTTGTAAAACCCTTGGGACTTCTTGCCTTAGATTTATCTGGTCTGAAAAAGGTCTGTCAGTGTTTTGTGTGTATCATTGTCTTATAGAGTGTTATTTATAAATGTCCCCAAATATCTTACTGTGTCTACATACAGGGCAGGAAGACTGAAAAAGACAGGCACAAACAGATGTTCAAGGAAAATACGTAGTGCTTATTGTAAACCACCACATTAAGTAATAGTCACAATCAATCTGATCTTTGAAATCATGGGTGCAGGTTAAAAGAAACAGATCATACTGACAGAAAACTAGACAATTTCGTATTGGCTTTAATAGAAAGTTCATTTTGCGGCAGCAGTACAGAATAAGTGAGACTTGAAATTAACGTCAACATGCATCAGTGCAGATGTCAGGATAAAATCTAAAACTGAAATGTATTTTAACACATAAGCAAACTGTTTCTAGTGAGACTTGTTTTAAATTAAGGTGAATGTGTGTTGCTTTTATACCTTAAAGAGACACTTGTTCTGACCCTTAAAATGACATTCATTTTCCAGTACATTGTTTTTTTAATAATATGCTTGGCTTAGAAAATTGCTGTTATACCACATGAAGCACATTTTCTCTTACAGTGTAAATACATCTCCACAGAATGCCCGTGAAAAGGAGCAACATTTAATAATAAAAACAAATAAGACAGAAAAAAAAAAACATTTTATTCGAAATATGAATTTATTGTATTAAGCATGATGCTTCGATCTTGCTAAACAACAAATAATTAGTCCGTGCAGTGCTTACAATGTGCTTTACAGATAGGAGATCCATAACCATTACAAAACAGTCAATATGTGCAACAACACCCCTGCGTTTGCACATATAAATAGTTTCAATGACAAATGTAAGACTCCATGCCTGTATCTGATTTGAAATCTGGTTCGTGTCATAATGAATGTAAGAGCGGAAAGGCGTGTGCGCAAAATGGAGAGAGTGCGTTAATTCAGTTGATTTCCAAATAATAGTTTTTTTTTAGCGAGCCAAATAACACTGTGTCCTGTTTGCAAAGAGGCCATCGAAATACATGTCCATCAGGTGGTACACGTGGCAGTGCATAATCCTAATCATGTCTCTAGTACGCACCCACGATGACCGCCTCTACCTCTTTGGAGGGTCTCCGGTCCGTTACCAAAAAGTTGATCATCCCTTCCGACTTGATCAGCAAGTTACAGCCCAGGAAAAAGATCCCGAAGACTACGGTGAGGGAGAGGACGCACATCACCGCTATCTGAACTATTCTCATGATGAAGAGGCTCCTCTCATCCGGAGCCGCCGCCGTGAAGCCGTTATCCGTCACCACCGACGAGAAGTTACAGCACAGGAGGATCTCCTCAGTCCGGTTGGAGAAGATCCCGCTGTCCGTTTGGTTAAATGTAGTATTCATGTCTACTGATCAAAAGGACCGTCCGGAAAGAATACTTTGAAAAGTCCGAGAAATCAGGCGGTTCTGATCTGGGAGTGTGAGAAATTGCGTAAAAAGTGTCCGTAAAGTCAGGCGCACCGATCCAGCGTCTCTTCTTTGGCGCACTGGCGTCCCATGACGCGCTCCTGCTCTGATTCACTGTAACTACACAGAGCTCTTCTGCTCAACATCACACCTGCTCTGTTAAAAGCACCGAAAGAGCCGATGGGAGGTGACTGCTAGTCTCCTCACTCAAAAGTGCATGCCTTGTGGCGCCACCTACAGCAAAACTAGTAATATTACAGACCTCCAAAGAATATTTAAAGTGCCCCTATTATGGATTATGAAAGGTTCATATTTTGGTTCGATTGGTCTGGTTTTCATTTCATCTCGCCTGTAATGCCTGATAAAGCAGTGTTTGTGAGCGCAGTGCTGCTTTGTGTACAGCTTTACCGGGGAAGCCGCTATTTTTAAGCTCCAAAAGTGGCACCTAGTGGCAAAGAATGAATTAGCATTTTCATTCAGGCCAACGCGAAAAGACCATCAAGTGGGCAGGCAATATGCTAATGTTTCATGTTGACTTCAACATGAAACGGCTTGGGATTTGTTTTAAAAACAACTTGTTTCAATGATTCAGAGTCTTCTCTTTCGTTTGAGAGACAATAACTTTATACACGGTGCACTTTCAGATTTAAAACTTTGCAGGATATTTTCATTCACTTAGAGCTGTGTTACACACTGCATGAAAGCTAATTTTCAAAAATCCATAATAGGGGCACTTTAAAGGGGTCATATGATGCGATTTCAATTTTTTCCTTTCTCTTTGGAGTGTTACAAGCTCTTGGTGCATAAAGAAGATCTGTAAAGTTGCAAAGACTAAAGTCTCAAATCCAAAGAGATATTCTTTATAAAAGTTAAGAGTCAGCCACGCCTACCTAAAACGGCTCATTCTAACACGCCCCCACATGTCTACGTCACGATGTGGGAAGACTTGCATAACGCCGCCCAAATGTTCACGCAAAGAAAGAAGGCGTAACTTTTATTCTCGCTGTAGTTTTGTTGACGCTGCAGCCATGTCGTGAAGATGCTGTGTGCTTCGTTGTGAAAGCGAAACTACTTTGTTTGGTCTTCCAAAAGAGGACGATATCCGCTTCGTCATCTTCGCCTAGAGCTGATCCGTGCTGGTCGCTGAGGGAATACATCAACTTAGTGCTGTGGATCGCCGGATCGGCTTTCACCGTGGACAAAGCGGAGTCCAGCCCGGAGTCGTCACATGTGGTTGCCGCAAACCCGCCCTCCGCCGCTCACTCAGTTATTTTTAGCAGCATCATATGACCCCTTTAAAACAACAGAGTCTAATAATCAAGTAATAAGCCTTGTAAGTGCTTAAGTATAATCTTTACATTCAAAATGCATGGTTAAAAAATAATTAATTATTCAAATTAACATGAATATTAAAAATCATTTAAAAAATGCATATTTACATTTAAGGGTTTCAAAGTCTATAGCCCTGACACAGCAGCTCTAGAGGCTCCTGCTAAAGTCTTTTCTGTCACTTCTGAACCCGCTATGGCCTCCCTGTCGTGAACTCAAGCCATACATCTGCCAATGAACTGAGCCAAGATCATTTGAAAATACATATTAGACACTGTTACTCTTCACCTTGAGATTGATAGCGAACCCTTTAGTGGCGAGCCAGAGAAATTTCTCAAATTTCACACCAAAACACTGATTTGAAAACAAAATAATTGTAAAGGTTTCAAAGTTTCACGAAGTAGAGATTTAAAAGCATCCATCCTATAAAAACACAATTTTGCTGCATTAAAATCAAATATATTTATAACAGCTTTATTGTACAGCTATGTTAAATTTGAATTGAGAAAGATGATTTTTGCAGGCAGATTCATTCATTCATTCATTCATGTTTTGTACTGTACATAGAGCTTGAAGAAGAAGAAAAAAGAAGAAAATACAGAAAAAATAAGAAAAAACTGAGAAAACAGCACATTTTTAAAAAATAAATTTCTATAAAGTTCTGTACACTATACTTTGTGTCAGCCTTGCCTTAGCTTTTAATGACAAAAATGGTGCTTTTAAGCTAAATCATATTTGCTGTAGCCATCTACCACTACAGAAGATTGGTGCATCTATGATGACTTCTGAAAACCCCACAGATGGGAAGAGGGTCCATTAGTCTTCGGTTGTGATCAAAAGTCACCTGTAAGATTCACACTATTATAAGGTCCTGTCTAAATAATATTGTCGTGGAGAGCATCAAAATAACATTTGTACCATTTATTCACTGTGCATTCATTTTAAATGATTGTTGTCAAACCCATGAGTCTACAGCCAAGACACACGAGTCAACTCTTCTGCTGTTCGCTATTATCAGGACATCATTGACAGGTCACTGTCTCCATCTGCTGGCCAGTCGTCATAAATTAATCAGGTCGATTTTAAAGACGTGACTTTTTATATTTCACTACAGACAACAGGGGCAGTGCTGTATTTGAGTGTCAAACTCGAGCTTAGATCATATTTGAGGAAAAGTCTAATAATGCAATAATGCAAACTAACCACACAATGGATGCAGCAATTAATGTAGTTGTTTGGACAAAATGTCTTTTAGATTTGGTCCATATTTCATAATTCCATTACATTACCTATGAGCCAAAAACTTTTGGCAACCCGAAAGTGTAAAAATACTTTGTCTAAATTTAGTATTAATTGTTAAACTGTTTATACATTTAATCAGAGTGTCTTTAAAGTATTACTGAAACTACTACTCATTATTTATTTATTCGCATTATTTATTATTATCATTAATTTATTGCAGATTGCTTGTCAATCCTAAGATCAGTAGTCATGCTTGTTCTGTGTATGTATTGTCCAGCTCGAAGTATATAAGTATGAAAAATCCAGAGGCAACTTTTCCCCATGCACCGGCAGCTAAGTGTTTCATGATATCAGATCAGGGTAAGTTAACAGCACATATTCCATCATGAATCAGGTTATGAATGTGTTGAGTGAACACAAATACGTTTTTGTTTCTTCTTCCTCCTCTTCTTTTTCTCACAGGAACAGCATAGAGAGTGATCAGACTTGTATCGAAGGCTCAGGTGAGACCTGCTGACAAATCAGACCATAAACTGCATGTGAGTAGAAAGCTGATTTATATGAAAGAAAGCACTGAGGATGATGATGGTCACTGGAAGACACTGGGACCAGTGAGGATCACCATCATGGTTTGTGTGGGCTGGACTCAGCAATTTAGCACTTCATTATATAGAATTGTTTTTTTCTCCACAAGTGATGAAATGAAAAGTACGAGGTGACATTGCAGTTTATAATTATCCTAACAATCATATAGTTTCTGTCATAGTAGTATATTTTTTAACATTCCTTTGGCAAATACTGTAATAATCCAGTGAGTGTTTGTTTGAGTCCTGCAACAGATGGGATGAGCCACACACCATCAATCTGGGATTATAAGAAGAGACAGAAGCAACGGAGACAGACTGCATGCTTAGAAGAACTGTGGCAACATCTCCAAGACACTTGGAGAAATCTGAAATGCTGTAAAGTAAGGATATTTAAAAAAAATAATGTCATAAATACATTTGATCAATTAGGGTAGAGTGGGGGAAAATGCCCCCATTTTTCCCAAAATAACCACAAGATAAAGTCAAGATCAATTTGTATTGTAACTATGGACTACGTTGACGAGAGTGATGTAGAAGTTTTCACCATGAAGCTTACACTGGTGAGAAAACGGATTTCACAGTAAATGATCTCATTTTCAGCAGTAAGAAAAAAAGCGTTTTAAAGCTTGTTGTTGTGTAGAACATCACAGTTATATATGATATGAGAACAGTAGGGCCTGTACGTAGATAGAGAGTATGTGTTATTTAATAAAAATATAATGATATTTTCAGAATGACATAATTTTTTTTTTTCAAACATAGTCTGTGGGTTAAAACGCCCCCATTGAGCAATTACTGTAGTTATTCTCTTCTGAACATCAAATCCTTTGTTTTCCCATCAAATGTATTCTAACTAGTTGGTTGGAAAAAAAAAATATTTGGATTTTATTTTTAAAAATTGCCTCAAGTTAGCATCAGGTAGCTAGTTAACTAGCCAGTTAGCATCAGCTAACAAAATGTTTCAAATAGGCTATTATAATTTTGTAATTCATAATTATAGATGATATTATTTTTAATGTTAAGCAACAACTGTCTGTACTCTGATTTTGCTGTAAATGTTTAAAGCAAATTGCTTTGTCAGACTGGGGACCCCCCATAGGTGGCGTAAAACGCCCCCTTAGTACAAATTGAATTTTTGTTAAAAATCTAATAACATGAAAACGCTGTACATTTTTCATACTTTGTTTATAATTTATGTCATTGTCACTAAAACTATGATAACTTTTCTGAACACATTTAACGTTTGTTTCACAGAAAGAAAGAAAAAATACACAGTACTTAAAGGTATTTGTATGACCACACTTCTCCTTTAAAACAACTTATTTTTACTTTAAAGATGCATGGATCTCATAACATTATTTATGCAACTGCAGTGTAAATGCAACTGAGCTGCATTAAATATGTGACCCATTGGAAATCAATGCAACCTAACTTCTCTCTCTCTCCCTCTCTGCGGTTACTTTATCATGAAGTCCGACCAAACAGTAGAAGATGGGAAATGCTGTACATTTTTTAATATCACAGCGTCTCGTTTCTCTTGCATACAGCAGGTGTCGCTGCTGTGCCTCAAATTTTTTACTCTGGACAACAAATACGCTGCATGTATGGCGATGTCTTACCCAGGTATGCATAAAATGAAATACTGTAATCAGAAATATGTGACCCATTGGAAATCAATGCAACCTAACTTCTCTCTCTCTCTCCCTCTCTGCGGTTACTTTATCATGAAGTCCGACGAAACAGTAGAAGATGGGAAATGCTGTACATTTTTTAATATCACAGCGTCTCGTTTCTCTTGCATACAGCAGGTGTCGCTGCTGTGCCTCAAATTTTTTACTCTGGACAACAAATACGCTGCATGTATGGCGATGTCTTACCCAGGTATGCATAAAATGAAATACTGTAATCATTATAGGCTACGAAACATACGATACTTGATCAAAATATGTTGTTAAAACATTTTAGCATGTCCTCAAGTAAAAAGGATGTGAAAACAG